TTTGCATGATCACAACCAGATAAAGCCACCAAAGAAAACAATAAATCTGTGAACTCTCAATCAAGAGTTCTTGATTGAAATCTGATTGCTTCAGATTTTTTTAATTAAAAAAAAAAATATTAAAGTAAGTGTGGAATCCCCTTGCAAGTGCTGCTAAGCAACAGTAAAATTTTTTTACAGTTCAGTATTGTAGACCTATGCTCATTTTCATTTAGTCTTTAAGAAACATTTTCCAATAAAGTCAGAGAAAACTGAGCTTGGGCTGCACACAGCATGCAGGACTTTCAGTACAGATGTAAAGGTGAGCAGCTTTTTCAAGTCAACCAGTATTTAAGTTGTCCTTTCCTTACGATGACTTGATACATCAGATAAAAACCCAAAATAAACCATTTCACAACTGCAACAACATTTTCCAGACTTATCTTTGGCTTCATGAATTTGACACTTGGGGTTTAATTTTCAGAATTCAGTTTGAGCACCTGCAAGCCCTGCTGAAGTGAGAAAAGCAGTTCAGTTCTCTGGAAAGCTGTTCCACAGTTTCTCAAGCATCTAAAGTCAATGAAATATTGTTTTTTAAATATTGATTGTGATTAGCCAGTGAAAGAGACTTGCTTCATTTCATCTCAGTCTTCATCCTGGGTTTCAGGCAACTTAGAAGCATCAGGCCTGCTTCAGGTGTACCAGTAATGTTTTTCTCCCAAATATCTCACCTAAAAGAGGTCCTTTTAGCCCAAAAAACATGTTGTCCCATACAGTTCTTGTCTACCAAAAGTGCCAATGTTAATTAGCACTGCTGTTAACCTGCCACTCAGAATCTTGCATTTTTCTGACTCACAATGTAAGGATTTGTTCTTTGCAAGTTATAAACGCTTTTACAAGAATCCCAGTGGCTGAAGAGTCCTGGGGCATTTTTACTGCTGTATTTCCTCTCAACACCCATCCTGTTTGCAGTGATTTCTCATTGGTTTTACCACAGGTTAAAAGTGGATGATATGAGCAGTCTGCAGATATGATTGGTCTTCTGTAATCTTACTCCACTCCAACCACCACTTTTGCAATTTATGTTGTCAGCAGAGGGATAGGAAATAGTGTTTTGCTCACAGCTGGAAAAATCAAAATATGGGATGTTTCAGAGGTAGACTGCCACATTCTCCTCCACCCCCACACCCATGTGGCTTCTTTTCAGACAGAGAATTTGGGATTGTTTATTTATTTATTTATTTATTTATTTTCCCAATCACCCTTTATTTTGTTAACCTCTAATATAGATGTGCATAATCTGAGAGGAGGTAGCATCCCTAACTGTAGGTTTCAGAAAGTGTCTGTAGGAAATTTGAGTTTCTCTTTTACACAAAATTATATACTTTCAGTTCTTTTCAAAGAATGGACAGTGACCTGCTGTGTGCTCCTTCTACAAAAGCATTAGATAGTTTTACTTTGAAATCATAAATTCTTCAAACGAGAGTCAATGTCTGCATTGTCATTTTTGCAATAAAACAGCACAACTGTGCATCATTTAGGTGCTGCTGAGGTATAAACAGTAACAGGTCACTGCTTTTACCTTCCCTTGGCTGGAGCCAGCTGCCTGTCAGAACTAGCAATGCCATAATGGACAGACCACAGAAAAGCAATCAAATCGCTTTTTTCAGACAGAATTCATGATTTCTCCAATTCTGCTTTCCCACTCTGCTCATTTTTATTCCCAACAATTTGTGTAGACTGTAGCACATTCTCTACAATACACTCACTGGCTTAAAATAGTCACTGTGCTTATTTCATTTCTTTTTCTGGCAAAAATACAATTCTGCTATTATTCAGTGAAAAATAAACCCACCAGCTGAAGAAGGTACCCACAAGGCCCCAAAGATTTTGCACAAGGTTCATCTTTTTAATTAGAAATTTCTCAATAAAGAGAATAACTTTGTCCAGTGAAGTCCTAGGCCCAGAATACACATCACATGTGTGTTCTGCAAGTGTGGTTGAGAAAGTCAGCATTGTGAAATACGGAAGGAATAAACATGTATTTTTTTAGCCATATGACATCAACTTATAATTAGCTTGTTTCACTCAAATTAGTGTAGCATATGGGCACACAGAACAACTTTTCTATAATAAACAGCCTTGAAAGCCTTAAATTATCATATAACATATTTATATGTAGCTGGAATTTGGATTGAGCATGCTGTGCAGCTGTAACCTGAAATTTGATAAAATGGAACTCCCCTTGACAGGCCAGTAATGGAAGTTCACTTCTAAAATAACTCAGCATTTAAAATAAAGCCAGCACAAATTGCAGAACTTGCAGCACATGCAGCCAACGTAATTTAGTTACACAAAACAGTGCAGCTGCTCTCCTTGCAGTCCTAGAGCCATCAAAGGACAATTCAAGTCCAAGTTTTTTCAAAGGATTGACATTTTTCTTCCCAGAATTGTGGAAACAGTTTTTATCACTGAATGTTAGAGAGTCAAGCAGCAGAGTTCCATGGACAAGGCTCATGATGCCTTGTTGCCATTTCACTGAATTGGGAATATGGGGCTTTGCTGCATTTTTTTATATTATTCACCAAAATGAATTTTACTCTGGGCAGAGTAAAACAAACACAGCGTGTCTCAAGAGCAAAGGGGGGAAGTAATGCTGATTCTTCTGTCTCTGTAAACCATTTCTTATGATGCATCCTGAACTTTCTTTCAATCCTAAAAGCTTTCACTGTTCTTTTATGAGAACGAGTTCTCACTATAAAAAGAGGACAATAAAACTAATCAGTAAAACCTGAATAGAGGTAAAACTCATCAGCACATGCCCTGCTAATTCTGCAACATAACAAACACAAAGAGAACCTTTAAAACACTTCACCCTTACCACATCCCAGTGTACAGATAACTGAACACTTCCAGGGATGGGGCAGCCACAGTTTTTCTGGGCAACCTGTTCCAGTGCCTCACCACCCTCACAGTAAAGAATTTCTTCCTAAAATCTAACCCTCTTCCAGTTTAAAACCACTGTCCCTCCATCTGTCCCCTGAGTCCCTGATGAAGAGGGCTGCCCATGTTTCCTGTAGACCCTATTTAGGTGTTGGAAGTCTGCTCTAAGTTCTTCTGGAGCCATAAACATCCATTTTAACCCTCCCAGGTGAGGCAGTGTGTGATGTGCCCCATATTGGCCACATAGATTACAGCTGATACCAGTGGGCCTGTCATGACACCTGGGAACTCGCCCTTTAGATGGAAATTGGGAATCTTCTTATGAACTTGAGAACACATTGGTCTGTTCATGGTGTCCAGAAGGGTAATACCACCATTTTCATCTCAAAGGGGAGTAACCCCAAATCCTTGACTGAGTTACAAATCCAAAGTCATGCATCTCCCCCCTGAAGGCTCCCACATCAGGCTGTTTGGAGCATTAACCCCAAGGCTCAAGCTTTCTAGTTCATGTCTTTCCAGGCAATTTAAATATACTCTCAAACCAAGGAATAACAGGGCATTTATTTCATGGTTATCAAGCCCCTAAATTAAACAGACATCATTATCACTCCACCAACAATTTAATGCTTGCAGCATGAGGTTATTTCAATTAAGAAAACAACTCAGCTCTGGCTAAATAAATAAGTGATGTCATTCTGCATTCAGGCCTCCAGATTCTTTGGTGTAAAAACTTCCCTTAGGAGAGGTTTTGGGACACGGTGGCTCCTCTGAGACTATTTACATCTCTCAATTTCTCTAATCTCTTCTTCCTTCCTTCCTCCCGTCTATTTCCTTCCCTTTCACTAAAAACTGGCCAGTATTTAACTCTAATGCTTCCAGTCTGCCCAACATGCTTTTAGAATTGGGTGGTTGTTGGTTTCTTGTTTTGTTGGTTTTTTTTTATAACCAGAAATAAGGCTTAATTTAAGGTAATTACTTTCCCATTTGGAGAGTTTTGCTATTTGCAGGGCCTTATTTTTTTCCCCTAGTCAAATTAGCAGGAGAAGTTACTTTTAAAAGTGATAGTTTTCTCCTAAAATTGTTCTTGAGATTAAGGGTAGCGCTCAAAACCCAAAACTTCTCACTCATGTTGAATTTCTGCATGTCTAGAAACAAAAGTAGTGCTATCAGGAAATTATTGAGGGGAGGAAGAGGACAAACAACACCATAGACTTCCAGTGAAAATATATGTGTATTTAAGCCTGATCACCAATTAGTATGGGCTTCCAAATAAATTAATCTTCAAATCAGAGAGGTATCCAGACTCCTTCTAGGAGTCAAAAATGGGCCAATTGGAAAAGATACTTTTCTCTAGAACTGTTTCTTTTCAGTAACATCTCTAATATGGCATTGAGAAGTCAGAAACAGTCATAAGGATTGAATTTCCACTTGCAGTGTAACAACAGGACTTTGTGGAATGAAAAGTGTTAATAAATGCAAATATTCAATGGAGCATTGTCCACTAATAGAAGTAAGTGAATAGGACATCCTTAGTGGGAAAACTGGCATAATTTCAGAATCCAAGCATCACACCCTCAGACAGATCCCTTTCTTCTGTTTGGAGTGTTGTCTGTCTAACTTGTAAGGATTTTAACTAGTTCTTCATTATTTTGGGGGTTTGGAACCTCAAAGGGGCCATTGGATGTGTGCAACTGGTTTGTAGCACAGTCTGAGCAGGCAGTTTGCATGTGAGCAATAAACTCAGCCCATATCCAATTTACTTTTAAGCTACACAGCCCTCAAATCTGTAATTCTGGTCTGGTCAGCAGTGCCATCACCCTGTATTTACTGAAAAACACCACTATTATTTTGAAATATGTGTTACATATAGACATGCCAATGGACCTTGAATTTACAAACAGTGGAAATATAAATTCTAATATATATTTAGAGTGTAGATAGAATGGCACAGGCCAAAGGACATTCATGCAAACATTTTTTATGGGTGGTCTTTAGGGAAATGATAGTTATGGCAAAATTTATTTGGACCTGGCTCTTCAGGGAGACATCACACACAAGTCTGGTGAAAGGATCTGGCTCCTAAGACAGTATTTAAAGGACAATCACCCAGATTGCATTTCTGTAGTTTAAAAAAAGATCTTCTATGTAAGAAAGGCCAAAAAAGCCATACAAATCAGCCAGAATAAAAACATTTAGCAGTAATAACAGAAGGATTCTTCATATCTGCAGCCCATGGCAATTTAAAATTAGTTAATTTTTAAAAATTTCACTCTGAGTTACTGGGCAGTATACAGACACACTTAGCTCCAAGTAGCACATACATAAAAGATATGGATGTGAAAGAAATAAATGGAAGTAGAATAGAATAAATGTATTGCAATTGTGTGGCAATGTATTTGTTAAGGAAGAAAAGCAGGTGGAATATTAGCAAGGCAAATCAGAAAAGTTTAAATGGATCTGAGTTACAAAGTCCATTTTGTTTGACTGACTAAAGCCTTGAGTCCTGTGCATGCTTGGTTTTGCATCTTAAATTACAATAACTGGCAAGAAAAGAAATTGGGTTTTGTCTTTGATCCTCAGTTAAAGCAGACTGAGAAAATCCCTTCATAATTGGTTAATAGTTCATGGGGCTAAAATTGTTGTTGTAGCACAATCTGTGGGAACAACACAGGAGAAACATTTCCTGCAGAAAGAATGCTGAAGTTTAATTACTACACATCACATGAGGGAGAATTTCAATTTTTAGGGCCCTGTGTTCAGGCAGTTACTAGGTAGCCAGCTTGTAGTGGAATATTGATGCTTTAGTCTAATCTCTGCTGTGCCAGAGAACAGTGGAGGGGCCTCATTCTCATGATGGGGTAGGAGGAATGCTACACATTTCTTAGGTCTTATCATCATGTACATTGCTATGCCAGGCAGTTTAATTAATAACTGTCGACATCTTGTCATTTATCATTACCCAAACAGGAGGGAAGGACCCTTCCATGTGCATGCTGTACAAATAAATTAAAGTTGTCTCCCCCAGTCTCACGGGTTTGCTGCTGTCACTCACTCGTGTTGTCCTTCCTGCAGTTCAAAGAATTGCATCTTATCTTGCTCCCAGGACTGGGCAGCTATTTATGTCCTGTAAAACAAAAGCACATGCAAGCCTGGTGGATAATCAACCAGCAATATTGCTGGGGAGAATTAAATTATTGAGTTCACCAGAAAACATTTACCACTATATTTTAAATGTACAACAAGTAACATTCTTCCATGAGAAATGTGGAAACACTGCAGTCAGATCATGATGTCAAAATAAGCTTTTTCACTGACTTCAAAGGTCATCAGAGCAATTTCTTATTTTCATATTACAAAGCTAAATACTAATTAGTCCAGTGTAAGTAAATTGCTCATCTTTCTTTGGAATCACATGCAGCATGTAGGAACACTCAGAATGGCTCTGGTTACTATGCAATATTTTGTTTCCAACAGCAAAGCCTAAAAATCTTCCTCTCTATGAATGCTTTGATTCTTAATAGCAATTTGCAAGAAAAAACAATTCCAACTGAAATGAAAGAGGTAGTGTGATAGAGACACTTCCAAACACAATCCACTTTTGGTAAATAAAAATAAAAAGTTTATTAGACGTACTCTTTCGTCAGGGACACAGCATGCCAGGGATGGCACACAGGAAAACAGGAGCCCACAGATATTATTATTTAAATTATTTAAGTTTAAAAAAAAACCCCAAACTGAACTCTATTTACTCTGTACAATACACTGAATTGTGAGAAATTTTCATGTCAGATTGTGATTGCAGGCAGAGCTCCCTGTGTCTGTCCAAGACAAATGATGGAGCATCTCTGTGTTCTGGCTGATGGATGGAGCTGCCTCATGCGTGGCCCTTGAAGGGCAGCAGGAAGGGATGGACTCCTGCAGGGACTGCCAGAACCTCCCAGGCAGAAGAAGGCTGCTGGCTACCTTTAAAGAATCATATTAATCTGCAGCTCTCTAAGGTATTTGTTGAAGCCACCAGGATGATTCAGGGCACACTTTGATCAGGAAAGCAGTTAAGACAATTGTGGCATATGGCAGTGTGACCCTGTAAGGTGTCCCAGCTCTGTCCCTTAGACTGACCCTACGTGCAGGAGAGCTGCTGCAGCACTGGGAAATATCTCTTTCAAATTTCATGAAGAGAAGTCATGCACAAACATCAACACACAGATAAGTGCAAACAAGAAAACAGTGCACCAGAGCTTGTGAGATCCTCTTGTATAAAATGTCCCAGGGACAAAAAGCAACAGGCATGAGATGGACCAAAGGAAAGAGACCTTTCACGTGGCAGCCTGAGCGGAAGCCCATGGCAGACCTAAGGCTCAGGTGTCAAAGAGCTGAACTGTGAGTGCATTTTAATAATGAGAGATGTGGTAATTCTGGCCCCTTCTGGCTGCAGTAAATTGCTCTGTTTGGCTGGAGCCAAGCTGAAATAGCACGTTGGGCATGCATCAGGAAATTACCTCAGAATATACGAAGCCTCAGGCTCTAGGTGATAAGTAAGGACCCAACAAATTAATCTCATCATCTGCATTCATCTTTGGATGCTGCTCTGTGCCAGGCCACAGTGTGTGGGCTGGGGCCTATTTTTTTTCATTTGTCTAACTTAAATTGGCAGTTTGAGTTACTATGATACAAATGTTCTATTCTGTGCTGTCTGCATGGTAGATTGTTCTTACTGAAATAGGAAGAATTATCATGTCATATTTTACAGCCATGAGGACAAATTATTATGAGCCTTCTTTTGTCAACATAAATTATGCAAGTCTGGTGAAGGGAATTTATGGACATCCTCAGTCTCTTTTCCTTCAATGGCAAGTATTTTTGTTAATAATTCTAATTTAATTATTTATTAAGCCATTCAGAATCCACTCACTTCTACAGCCTATCTCTGAATTGCATTCCTCACTGTATTATTAAGGCCTTTCAAGATCAAAAATCACATCTGAGTGAAATGGAAAAAAAGAGTTGCCTTAGACTCATGACTGGAACTTAGGTATTCTTTTTAAAAAACAAAAGAAAGAAAAAAACCCCCACATTTCTTCATATTACTTTATAGAGAACAATCCACCCTTCATTTCAAATAATCCATTTCTTCTTCCAAAATATGTCAGTAAATTTTACTGTCCTCTGTATGCTTCAGTGGCAGAAGCATAGGACTCTCCCTTTTTTCCCTGACACATACAGTGACTCTATTGCAGACAGAAGGAGGACAGGCAAACCCTTCTTTTACCTATATTCTATATTTCTTGTGTTCATTTTAGAGATAGCAAATGGAGGATTTGGGTGTTTTCTCCAAACCTATTATTTATCCTGAAAACTTAATGCTTTAAGGCACAGGAAGACCAATTTGTGTGCATTTTTTAGACTCTGATAAATTAATGAATATGTGCTCAAGACACAAAGACCCCACAGATTACTGTGAGAAATAATCCTTTTACTGCAATATCAGTCCTTAATGATTATTTTCTAATCCTTGGCACATAATAAAAATCATTACAATAATCAGAGGAGAATATATGTAATACATTTCATTTTCTAGCTCTTTCTCTTTGTTCTGCACACAGTAGGTAACAATCTATTTAGTAACTCATCCCTGAATGGTGGTTATGCATGACAGGTGCACCAAAAGTTAATTTTCTGTTTGTCTCTACTTTCTAGAAAGGGGGAAATTATTCCTCTTAAAAAAAAAAGATTAAATCTAAGGCATGCACAATGGGAGTACAAGTGCTTTTTACTGGTACAAACACATGAATATTTCTATTGTAAGACTCTATTTGTTTAGTTTCTTCTACCCTTTATATTTGGTAATGGATTTTTACTTCACAAAACTGCTGAAACAAATGCCTCTCAAATAAGAACACCCTGCTGGTATAAGCCCAGGGAAGGAGGCTTCCAGGCAAAAGTCTGTGGCAGATGACACAGAAGAAAAGAAGGGGTTTTCTTGTGCCAGTGTTGTATTGCAGGAGAGAGAGTTTGTGGCAGAATTCTGTCTGAAACATCCCTCAATATCTTACTCTGGTATGAAAGCCACAGTGTCTGTATAGCTCTGCTTTGGACAAATACAGAATTTCCTGCCTTCCACACTGAACTGGAGTCCTTAGATATGCTAACTGCCTAAGAAGAAACAGTAGCAGAGAGCAAATTCCAAAAGAGAAAGACTCTGTGCAGCATTAACTCTGTTGGAAACCTAGGAGATTGGAAAATGTACCATTACCTATCATAATTCAGGCAAAACCCCAACCTCACAGTCATCTGAAGGCCTAGGACTGACTCCTGTGGTGAGAAGATGATCTTTGGGGAGAGGCAATTCTCACTCCTGCAAACACAGATCCAAAGTTGGTCAAGGTATGAGAACTAACAAATAGAAGATGATTTTTTCTTCTATGGTTAAAAGAAGTTTAACATTTTAAACTAGGGACAATTCTTCATGTTCTGAAAGAAATTCAATGTGTTCATGCATATTTGGATGGTTAAACAAATTGAAGCATAAAATGTTCACTATTTCTGTACACTGGGTGAGGCAAAGCTACTAACTTAAAAGTTTATTTTTAAAGTGGCCCTTAAAATCTATACACACTAGAATTTAGTCCATGATCCACTACTGATGATACATAAACCAAATTGATTTCTAGATGGCCTTCCAATGTTAAAGTGATAATGAAGGGGGATAGTTATTCCATCTCTGAAAGTCCAAAGCTCTGTGGCATAGATTTCTACACTTTGGCTACAAGGCCAGAGACAAATGCAATGTTGTAAGGAAAGAGGACAGAGAAGGTCAGAAACTGATTCATTCCTTAGCCTGTATAAGAGCATAACACTTCAAAATTGTCACTGAAATAATGATTGCAGCTATAGGGACTAGAATTCAAATATTAGGAAAACAACTTTGTTTTCTAATTCTCTGGGCAAGGGAAGAATTCAGGCTTAGCTTATGCTTGTACCCTTTTGTTTACACTTCTGTTTGCTGAAATACCCTGCACCAGCCTTGTACTGGTGTGTCTTGGTCATCTGCCAGTCACCCACTGGGGGTCACCATGACATCTCAGAAAACACCAAACTGATGAATTCACAAAGTTTGCTCCTTGCTCCAGGATCATGTTGGTAGAAAACTCTATCCTCTGCCTTGTTCCTCCTGTTGGCTCAGCTCCTGGGAGGGGACCAGGAGAGCCAGAGGCTGGGGACACTCCCTCAGGGCTGCTTCTCTTGAGTGACAACCCAGCCAGTTTGGCTTCAGCAAAAATTTCTGCCTTCAAACCCTAATTACTGTGCTGGCACAGCACTCTGAGTGGTTTTTCTAATTGTTTGTATTTATTTGCAAAGTCTCTACTGCACAGGGTCCTGTGATAAATATAATTCCACTCATGGCTAATTCGATGCTTTTTTGGGGGTAGAAGGGAGAGTAATTTCATGGTAAACCATAATTACTAGTACAAGAAGTACCTTAATTACCAATCCAATCTGAGGGAGTAGCTGAGGCTTGAATCAGCCTAATTAAAATTCTACTTGTTCATAATAAATAAGTGGCAATTACTAATTAGACCTAGCCTACACTATTCTAAAAGCGTGAATTTAATGTCAGTTTGTGTTTAATTTTGGCCATTTCCTACTTGCTCTGAAATGACAGCCCAGCACAGAACTGAACAGAGCAGATATCTGAGGCCTTTAAGTCTTCTCCTGCTGTTGGCTTCTAGTGGCAGAACAGACAACTTGATAAGGCAATTTATCACTGTTGAGTGCTGAGCTCCTGAACATCTAATTCCAGCTGTAGGTGTAACACAGACACCTCCAGCTATATGGTGGAAATCATGGGAAAATCCTTTTAGCTTTCAGGTCCCTGTTTCCCACCTTTTCTGATGAAACCACATTCATTTGCATGTTAAAAATGTCTTATGATTTGGGTCATTCATGGCTAGAAACCAGGGTTTCTGATTGCTGCCAAATAAAAAGAGGAATATAATTACAATATCCTGATAGCTTGGCTCCAGCTGTTTATCAAATATGTATTTAATCACAAGCACAAATCACATTCTGCCTGCAAGGAGGCTGAAAGGGGCAGCCTCTCCTCCCAGGCCCCAGGGACAGGACAGCAGGATACAGCCTTAAGCTGCACCAGGGCAGGTCTAGGCTGGACATGAGGGAGAATTTCTTCACAGAAAGGGTGATTAGACCTTGGAAGCCCAGGGATGTGGTGGAATCACCATCCCTGGATGTGTTTAAGGAAGGCCTGGACGTGGCACTCTGCTGTGCTTTAGCTGATGAGGTGCTGTTGGGTCCTAGGCTGGACTCAGAGGCCTTTTCCACCCTCACTGATTCTGTGCTAGCAGAAGTGTATCTCCCACTCTTCTTCCCACATTTTAATGACCTACAGAACTGAGATACTTCTGTAGGCCTGAAACAACACCAGCAAACATAAACAAAGCATCACAAAAGTATTTCTTCCATGGTTTCCCCTCTTATTTTTTTTTTCTAAGAACTCACTAGTTGGTAATGGGAATATTATGTTAGACCTACAAACACATTCTAACTTGTGGTTGATACATGTGTTCAGCAGATTTGACAATTAGAACATTATAGTAATAAAAATTCAGTCAAAGATTTTTCATTTCCAGTGAGCCTTACCAGTCTACTGATCTTTATCACTAATGGGGAACTGAGGATTTGTTAATTACAGCATGCACAGGTGCAGTAGCTTTGTATCTTGAAGTGTTCCCTAAAAACACATGGGTAAGGAGCAACAGTGGGAATCAGAACAGGAATCCTGTGGCATCAACCTGATCTTGCAGGGCTCTCTCTGATGAGTGAGGGTGATGTTAACCAGCCAGACTGACTGGCCAAGGGACAAATATCCAACTCAAACCCAAATGCCAGGGTGTTTCAATCTGTCAGGAGCCCCATATCCTCCTAGCTACAGCTGGTCACATGTAATACAGACTTTGGAATCAGTAGCTCCTCTTTACCCCATTTTTAGCTTTTTTCCTTTTGTTTTTTTTTCCAATTTTGAGTCCTTCAGAAATAAATAGAATTCCTTGGGTTTTTGGGTTTTTTTTTTTTTTAGATCAGCTTCTGTTCTCATAGCTTCTGGGCAAATACTTCCTTATTTGCTAGAGGGCTTAAGGCCCTGGGAACCCAGCAAGGGGGAAGTGGAGGAGCTGCTCACACTCTTTCTTACCAAGCTAAAAATCACTTTTTCTATCAATCAAACCCTACATGAGGCCTCCTCCAACTTACAAGCTCCTCACCTTTGTGCCATGATCCTGCCAGTCACTGTCATGGCAACCACAGAGACCATTCCAGCTAAAGAAACTGCTAATTTCTGGGGGGGAGACACTTGCTTGATATTTTAAAAAATAAAACATCCACTAGAAAAAATTTACCTTTTTTTTGTTTGGTTTTTTTTTTTTTTTTTTGGTTAATCATGCATGGAACTAAAAAGAACTCAAGAAAATGTGAAAATCAAATTTTTTCTCCGTAAACCATAACTGTTGCATCCTGAGTCACAGCAGGAACCATGGTGCCTCACTGTCTTTGAGCACCAAACCACAGGAGTGACTGTCACAGTCACCTTCTAGCACAGAATTCTGTTCCTCACACACATTTCTCCAACAATAGCAACAGCCCAATGACCAGAGGAAAATTAACATCTCCCCTTACCCCCAGACAACAATCTGGCAAAAACACTTCTAATTTGCTGCAGGGCCCTGCGTTGTATAAGTTATAAAATAAAACCAAATGAGGAAAGAGCCACAAGGCAAGGACTACAACCAGGGAGAGGGGAAGCATAAATTCAGCAAACCTTGGAAGAGCCTTGTCCCTGCACCCAAAGGCCCCACAAGGCTCAGGGAGTCTGGATCTGCCCCTACTCCTGAGCTTGCCCTTGTTCTATCACAAAAAGGAGTCTCCAAAATTCTCTTTTCATAAATCCTGAGTTGTCCTGTCTGAAGCCAGGATTTCCCTCCTCCTCTGCCATTAGCTGCAGTGTGGGGTGTCTGACCTCGTGTGCTTCTCAGCATTGGCCTTTCCTACAAGAACTGCCCCAGCTGGGAATTCATCAACAGCCCCCTGTGCCCAGGCGTGGGCTTCCTTCACACGAAGGGGCTCCTCGCTGGTTTCTCTTGCCCCTCAGCTGGAAGCTCCATCATGAAGGTTGGGCAAGCAAATCCTTTCCAAGGGGTGTGGAACAGACTATGGAAAATCCATGGGAATTCACAGATTCACCAAGCAGTGGACATGTGATGCAATTCAGGTGGTTTTTGTTTTGTTTTTTTTAAATTATTTTTTATGTAAACCAAAAGAATAATGGAGGTCCTTGAGAAAGCATCTTCACACTTTTAGCCTTTTACTGTTTTATTTTATTTTATTTTATTTTATTTTATTTTATTTTATTTTATTTTATTTTATTTTATTTTATTTTATTTTATTTTATTTTATTATTTATTTCTAAGTGGAAGGAGGGGAGGGGGAAGGCACTGTTTCCTTTATACCTCAGACACAACTTCCCAGTTTTTTATTTTGCCAGAATTGCAGGTAGACATCTCCACCTCGTGGTGTGAAAACAAAGCACCCTTTGAAAATTTCTAAATTGCTATTTCATGCAAAGGCAGCAGGCTAAAATGATTTCTGTAAATTATTTTCCAAAGCAAACTGTGCTCATGAGCACACTTACACAAAAATTCAGGGAGGAAAAAGGTTTTATAGACTATTGGCTACATATAAACCAAGGAGTTTATATATGATAATGAATGATTATCATATATAAGGTGATATGATGATGAATCATGTAACATGAGGATGCTGCATTCACTTACCCTTTCTGTATGCAAAGATCCATATGCTGCACATCAGGAACAGTTTTCTGTAGCCTTGGAACCTCGTGGAGGACAGATCATCAGGTAATGCAGCAATGAAAATTTGGTTCAAGGCTTAGGCTACAGAGAAGCACCTCGAGGGAGGCCAGCACATAACCTCTGCTCTCAAAACCTCCATCCCTCAGGACCTCTATTTCCAGGACAGAAGCTGACAGTAAATTCACTTCTCATGGGCTGCATATCTTACAGTGTTCCAAAACCAGTGAAATTCCTGCAATGAAAAGAGAACCATAGTTACATTTCATTTAAAAATGTACCAATAGAGGGAGATACTCCACCATAGCAATTAGTTCCTTCACAGCAGAACTTCCTGGAAAAGAGAATTTACACTGAACAGAAACAGGTCATTGTTGTTCTAGTTCTAAGGTGTAATGCAACAGTGTTCTGTGATTTCAGCATTCCCTAAGAAAATGGCACCTGACTGAACTTTAATTACTAGACAGAATCACATAGGACACCTTTTATATTGGAATTTACTCTGATCTCTTCAAAACATTCTGTGACTACATTCCACATAATAATAACTTAATGAATGTTTTTCTAATTTAGGCAAAAAAAAAAAAATCATTTACAGTCAACAATTCTGACTCCTCTAAAAGTCCTTTACAAAATTTTCATTTAATTTGCCTTTAATTGCCTTTAATTAAACTAGCTCCACTGAAGGAGATCAAAGAGCACAATGGTAAAGGCAGTGGCAAACGGTGATCTCAAGAGAAGTAGTGCAGACCTCTTGGCACTGAAGTGGAAGAAATGTAGAAGTTTATCACTTGTCAGATAATCCTACAAACTTATTTATTAGAATCTCAAGAAACATATGGGATTCTTAATACAGCAAAAATTCAAAATGAAAATGTTGCATTCTGATCTGCCTCAAAATATATGAACCACAAGCTGAATTCTAAGTGTAGATTTGTTAATCCATATCCACAAAAAATGGTTTAAAAGGCTGAGTGTTCTGTTCCTCTCTGTTCCTTGGGGATGCATGATTCCTGTTTCATGTCATCTGATGAAAAGAACAGAAAAGTTTTGCAACCTGCCAAAAGCTGAGCTAATTTTGTGGTTTTCAAACTATCTGCCAGTCAAACTCTGTGTTCCTTTGCTGAACTTACAAAATATTCTTGCTTCAAGAGAAAGTTTCTGCTGCCTTGGACCTTGTTAAGGACATTCAGCTCTCCATGAAATAGCTACAATAGCATGCATAACATAAAGACAGGAGTCATTAAAAAAAAAGATGATTTATCAAAATTTTTGGCAAATGGTCTTTCCTGTCTTAAGGATTAATGTTGTAGCTGAGACACTATTTACTTTTATGACCTTTCAAGGGAGGGATATTCCTCATCTTTACACGGTACTGGGCCTCAAATCCACAAAAAGAACTTCAAGAGGAGAGACAAGCAAGGAATACAGAAGTTGTGTCTAGATTTGCAAGCCAAGATCTTTGCTCCTTTAGCACACAGCTGCTGAAAAAACAGAACATGCTTTGCTGCCTGTAATTGTTAAATTTCACTCAATATTATAAATATATTTCTATTTGCATTCATACTCACTTCTTAACAGTAGAGAGAAACCAAAAGACAATGTTTTAAACAAATAGTGTAAAAAAAATCCCAATTAAGTGGGAAGATAGCCAAGGTACATGAAAAACATATATGCATCTGCCCATCCTAGAATTTATTGTGTCTAATTTCCCAATTTCAATGACAGCAGGACCTTTTGATTTTTTGTTTTGGTTTGGTTTTTTTTAGGGTTTCATGTCAATTTTTTAGGAACAAAACATTATGTAACATTAAAGCAGCTTCCAGCTAGTATTTTTTTCTTTTATTATTTCTGCAAACTTAAAGTTGACCCCCTCTTTCTTCTGCTTTTTGCTTCTACTGCTCTCTGTCCTAAGATAAATTATCATGTAAGTGTCTCTTACACTTCTTGATGTTTCCTCTACCTGAAGCAGGATTTCTCTTTTTTTTTCTTCACTACTGTGAAGTCATCATATTTAATTAATCCCGGAAATATTGACTTAGTGCTAAGGGAAACATTATCATTAAATTAGAAATGCTGGTGGTGGTGATGCCAGCTGCAGAGCAAGGCAGACACTCCGGCTCAGCACATTTTAGGTAAAAGTCTTTGGAGCCAAAAGCATTATTTACTCACTTAACTTCAGATATTCATTATATGACTGCAGATGGAGGAACTGGTTGTTTGGCATCTTCTCTTCAACACTATTTCTCTGACATTACATATAAATTTGTGCTTCAAAATTCCCTACAAATTGATTGAAAACTTGTTCTTAGAAGTTTAGGGAGAAGAGAGATAAAGGTATCATACAACTGTGATATCACTGTTACAAAATAGCCGCTTTTTAATTTATTTCTTTTTAAGAAGGAACGCAGACTTCCTCTCTAAATCTTCACCTTCAAATTATCAAAAATTTAATACTGATTTCCTGCAAATACAGGCCTTTTAAACTCGACTAATCTGTCATATGAAATTACATCAAAATGCAAGTTAACACTTCATGACATTTTGTGCAATATCTGATGTCTTTTAATAGTACTCTTTAATCACGTGGCTCTTTACCTTGGGTTGGTAGGAGATAAATTTTCCTTTCTAGGTACACTGCCTCTATTAGTCTAAGCTTCACACTTCTTCTATTCTTTTATTCTTCCAGAAAGATTGAGAACACTATTGAAATGTTCAATATGATAGATGCTTGCCAGATCCTCCCCAGCTCTCCCAGTGCTGGAGCTCTCCCTTCTCCCCTCACTCCTCTCTCCCTTCTCCTCTCTCCCTTCTCCCTTCTCTCCTCTCCTCCACAGGTTCTTGCTGTGGTTGTCCTTGTCCCTTCTCCAGCTCTCCTGCCCTCTGCTGTCTCTGCTCCTCACCTGCGGAGATCACAGAATGGACAGATAAAAACCTCCAAGATAAATCTCTGTCTCACCGCCTTCAGCTGCTTACGGCAGCGCCCCTCACAAACCCACCTCCATCCGTGCCATTTTTCCCATGCGTTTTTCAGTGCTTGACCGCAGAGATGTTGACTTTACGAAGGTTAAAGGTGGCTGCCTCAGCCAACAAACGGGGTTTAGCGGGAGGGATGGCTGCTGTTGTTTCAGGAGTGAAGTGTCACGGAGGTGCCGCGGCCCCCGCTGAGACGCGAGTGACAGCGGCAGCTGCCCGGGCTGCGGAGCCCCGCGGGACCTCAGGGTTCCCACGTCGGGAAAAGCCACCCCGGTCCTTTTCCCACAGCTGAAGCTGCAGGAACAGCGGGGAGAGCTCCCTCAGAAATCGGGGCCCGAGCAGCCTAAACTGGAACTGGATGTGCGGGGGCTCAGGCAGGCCCTGCTCGGGCCTGAGGGGATTCCTGGGTGCAGGCCGAAAGCTGATCCTGACCCCGGTGAGCCTGAGGGACAATCCTGCTTTCTCTTCTATCCCTGCAAGGACAAATGTCTGCTGATTAAATAGATCTTTTTATAGACTGAAAACCAGAGTTAGTCTGAATTCATGCAAACACCGAGTAAGTGTTTCACTTTACAGTATATTCACTGTAAGTGAAGCGTTATACATATGACAACACACACACAGAGTATAAATTAAATATTCTGCATTGGCAAAACCTTCTGGACTCTGACTTAGATTCTGCCAGTGCCTGAGACATTTGCAGCATTCACAAATTCATCATAGCCTGGCCTGCCAGAAAAAGAGCAATCTGAGGGTCTTCCTCCTGCCTGTGAATATGAAATGCTTTTAAATGTTTACTGTTTAATGAAACGGAGCAACTGATTTAAGTATTTAGGTGAGTTCTTCCTAGAGAATGAATTAGCTATCAGATATTGAGTATTCTGCATGAAAAATTAGATTCCTGTGATAGAAAGGAATTCAATGTTCTTGTTCAGAAGGATCTAAACTAAAATCATTTGATTTCCTGGAAAAGGCCAAGTTCTAAAAACCAACAGATATAACAGGATAAACACATTCCCCACCTCACCTAGAATTCCATGAAATTTTACAATTCTGAACTATACAAAACCCAAAATAAAGTATCACTTCAGCTCCTGTGAAAAATGAAGACCTCACATCTGTTAAATCTCTGCTCCTGAGAAAACCCAGCAGCAGTGGTGGGAGAAGGGAAGGAGGCACACACAACGTGGAGCAAGGCCCGGGGGACATTTGAAATGGTTGTAAGATTCTGGAACACATGCACATGTAAATTGTCACTAAAAATATTGAGAACAACCTTGAGAGGAGTTGCAGTAACCCTGGCATAGAAGGGCTTGGGACATTCTCAGCTGCCATACTTCTGTGAAAAAGGGATTGAGAACAGATTCCCTGTTAATGTCTTCTCTGCTGGGATGGCTCTAGGGTCTAAAAAATCTGCTTTCTGTTAGGAAAAACTATAAAATGTTCAACAAAAGATTAACAATGTCTTTCACTGGCATAAAATCAGGAGATTTCCTTGCAGGAGGGTGTGTTGAAAATTCCCTAGAAAGTCGAATATAGAAAGAATGACTGTCACTGGCAGCAAACTCCAACTCTCAGCAAATACATGTGTTACAAATCTAACTAAACAAACAAACATCATTCAAAGCCTTGCATGTGTGTATAAACCAGGTTGAATAATTTTTTTTTTTTACCTTAGGATTGGGCATTAAATTATATATAATTAGTGGAGTTCTTTCTTACTTCTATTTCCCACTTTAGTTCTTGAATTTGGCGTCTATTGAATACTGTTTTAGGGCTTTTTCTAAACTCAAGATGGAGAATTTTGTTAACAGTGCAATAAAAATAACTTCATAGTGTTACAAGGAAACATTAAAGACTTTTTTGTGCGCTGCTCTTTCCCTTAAAAAAAAAAAATACAGACATTGTTTCTTTAAAAGGCTCCATCTGCAAATCCCATTAGATGTGCATATAAGGTTTCAGATGATTAATAGCTGCCTGCTTTGCTTTGGTTGGAGGGGCTGAGGGTATGTGTGTTAACCCCTCCCGCCCCTCACTCACATTTCACTTCACAAACTTGTCACTGTCTCCCCAGCACAGTATTTAAAAAGTGTTTCGCTCATGCCCAGCACTTCACAAGGAAGCAACTCATGGCAATCCCTGCAGAAATCTGGTAGCTCCAGTCAGGGCAATGAAGACCTTTAGGGTTCCTGAAGTAGCAAACCTGCAACAGCGTCAAACCCACAAGCAAACTGTTGTTTAGAGAGGAGATCTATTCTGTAAAATTTGGGAGAGTTTCCCTCTGCTTCTCTTCTGCTTTTGAAGGCTGAGCTGTCACCAGCCAGGAGCACTGAGGTGTGGACAGGACTGGAAGCAGATGGATCCCAGCAGCAGCAGCTGCATGCGCAGCCCACAGCCTCCCACCCTGCTCTGGGGGTGTGTGAGGAGCTCCCACACCGACCTGAGCACAGCTCCAGGGCTCAGCCACTATCCAGCAGCAGCACCATTCTCCTTCCAGCAAAAACCAGATTTTGCTGCTTACTCTGATTTCTCAGCCTCCTGCCTGGTGACAGCTCCCCACAGCTTTCCACAGGAAGAGCGGGCACTTGTGGAGCAGCACTCCTCATTCCAGCACTCTGACTGGCACCTGGCAGCAACTGAGGCCAGAAGAGGAATAAATCCAGGATTGGCCTTGGCTTCTGGAGAGTCAGAGAGCAGCAACCCCAGCCTTGTGAGTGTGGCTGTGGGTGCGGATGAAGATGATGAGGCACCAGCAAATCCTACAAGTGACTGTGAGAAAAAGCCACCCAAAAGGAAAAAGGAAAGCTCAGGTAGGTGATATGAAATCAGGGTTGTGGTAGAGTGGAGGAGGTGGAATGAGAACACCTGGTGAGACTGGGAGTTAAGAAAGAAAGCTGATGAGCAAAAATTTCATAATACTTGACCGGGGCAACTTTAGACAGTAACATCACTGTAACTAACTGTCTCATTCTTATTCTGGTCTTTGTATTTCACTCCTGCAGATCTTGGGTGCTGAACTAGACATTTCACTCACCAGCACAATTTGCTGTCACTGAACAGGAATCACATGGCATGTACACACACAGAACTGAAAGTCCTGGGATGTGGAATTATACATTCACACCTGCCATTTGTCTGTGCAAGAGAGAATGGCAGAGAGCAAAGATCCCTCATCTTGAGCTGCCTGTGGTAGTTGGAGATGTCATACTAGGAATTTGACATTTTATGGGAAGAAGTACGAGAGGCAAAGTCTTCCTTTAAATATAAATTCTATTCGGTCGCACTAAATGTTAAATATTTTAACCTCAAAACAGGAGGTACTAAAAGCTTGCCTATCAGTACAATGTCCAAAAATGCAGAAATTGTATATGGTTTTCATGGTGTCATCCTAGCTAGCAAAACACATTCTTTCTACAGTGTAAATATCAATAATTTCATAGTTATACAGGCTCTAACTTGCTGATATCTCAGATCCAAATCTGTGAAATATGCATAAAATTGTTTTTTCTTAAGGAAGCTGTTAAAATTTAAGATGCCATAGCATTCAAGCATACAAGCTACAGTGTAATTTTTCCCACAGCCCTGCTCCCAAGTGGAGAATATTTTCCAGTAGCCCCATTTCACAGGCAGAAAATGCATGGATAAAAATATTGATTAACTTTTAGGTTTTGCAGACATTTATAGAATTTAAGTTCATTTATACTGATAAAGGATGTTTAGGCAAAACTTTCCCAAATGCAAAGAAGTTTAAATAAAGTAATTATTTAAATAAAGTAATTATTTAAAAAGTGAGCAACACTTTCATTAAAACATCAGCTAGTCACAGATAAACAGCAGATTTCAGCTTATTCACATTAGAGGGATATGTTTATCCTTAAAGTGACTGATTCCAAAGCACATCTCCCTGTTTCAAGAAGAAAAAGGTGCCTTTATTCTCTCTTACTACTTTGCATTTTCTTTTCATACCTGCTGCTATGCTCTTCCTTTCAGGGAGCTGTAAGCAATGACATCCCTGAGAGGTCTGGGGTTCCACCCTTTAGTGACCACTGCAGCCCTGGGGAGAGGCAGCTGTTAAATTCAATCCAGCACTGAAGCTGGTTGGGATCCTGGAAGGAGACACACTCCTTGGGGAGACACACATCTGCCTTTGGTTCCTAAGCAGCTTCTTTTTCCCTTCCCTTCCCTTCCCTTCCCTTCCCTTCCCTTCCCTTCCCTTCCCTGAACTTCCCTGAACTTCCCTGAACTTCCCTGAACTTCCCTGAACTTCCCTGAACTTCCCCTCTTTCCTCCCTTCCCTTCCCTTCCCTGAACTTCCCTTCCCTTCCCTGAACTTCCCTGGACTTCCCTTCCCCTCTTTCCTCCCTGAACTTCCCTTCCCTGAACTTCCCTGAACTTCCCTGAACTTCCCTTAGTCTCCTTTCTTCTTTTTAAACTGTCAGTACAGTAGGAAAAACCTGCCCAAGATGATTTGTCCTTTCACACATCTGTCATTTCTCACATTCTGTTGTCAAAACTGCAGCAGCTGGGCCATATTTCCACTTCTGGACTCTCACAGAACCTCAAGCATTATGTCTCTTTACAGTACCCTGTGGCACGCAGTGTGCATGAGAGATTCCTCTCTCATCCTGCACATCCTACTCTGCTCCCAGAAATATCAAAATACCCGTTTTAAATTACTCCCGTTGTCCTTTGGAGATGCAGACCTGTGAAACCTCCCCTTGGAAAGGGAATCCTTCCCACAGGGCTGTGATGAACTCCCGTGTACCTTGCTTTAGCTACTTGCTTATCATTTATGCCATGTGCTGAAGGCATTGGAGAGCTGCTGCAGCCTCCACGAGTCTGTGAGGGCAGCACAGACCCCAGGGGATGCCCAGGGACTGGTGGCAAAGTTCCCAGCAAGAGATCCACACTTCAAATCCTGATTCCCCACTGCTCCCTCCCAAACCACACTTGTGAGCCCCTGGGAAACGTGATAGCATGTCTGTGCTGCAAGGGATGAGAACAAAGGGGATTGTTTAACTGAGGGCAAAGTCATGGGGAGAAACTTCTGGAATTTTGTTCCTGTACATCCCCCATCTTTTTTTGTGGAGTTCTGAAGCAGCAAAACCAGTATGGAACAAATGAGACTGATTCCCTTGGAATGGAATGCTCCACTTCTGATGGCCAGAGATCAGGTCAGCTCAGTCACCTAAGACCACAGTCACACCTCACAGATTTCTCCAGTTTTACTACTTTGGCCACCAAAATGGCACCCAGAAGATGAAGCTGCACATCATGGATAAAAATATTAATTGATTGATTTCTAGCTTTTGCAGACATTTGTAGAATTTAAGTTCATTTATACTGAAAAAACCATGTTTAGGCAAAATTGTTACCATTTTGCTTATCATTTCTGGGTAGAAATATTACACTAGGACACACAGAACTCCATTGCCTACTGGTTACACACAACAATTAACTTACTAATTCTCAGCATAACAAAAATACTGCTGGCATGTTTAGTTCAGGGAATCTAGCAAGAGGAGCAAGAGGGGAGAAAGCACCAAGGAACTCACAAAACTGAGTCCCTGAAACACTGGCAGTTTGGACTTTGCTCACTAAAGGAAATGCATTTTTCTTTGCATTGCTTGGAGATTCTTTGAGCACCAACTTTAAAAACACAGGAGGAAAAAAAAACCAAAAAAATTAAAATAAAGGAAAAGAAAAAGAAAAAAAGAAAGGATTGAAAAAAATGAAAAAGGGTTGCCATAGTCTCAGGCAAAGTCAGTTTGTGTTTGCTTTTTATCATAATTGGTACAGCATCACTTTGGCTATGGCTTGAAATTTGGCCTTGAAATAGGACTCTTGACTGCATTGCAGAAATGTACACAAATAGCAAACAGGTTTTTCAGGACATCACAATGACAAGGATGATACTGAGGCCAGTCATCTACACAGACACCAGATCTGCTTGTAATTTTCATTTAGCAAGGATTAGAAAAAGTTAAAACGCAAGAGTGTTCGAGGTGGGTCTGGGCAAAAACCAATTTCTCTGTTTTCTTGTTTTACTGCCTCACATCCCCGGTATTTCCAGGCCATGCACCACAGCTGAGGGTGCTCACTGCGTGATTTGTTCTTATGTCCTGCACCAAAGCTGGGCACCAAACACTCCTAACATCCTGCATGCTGCATGTTCTTGGCTGCCTGCTGCATGGTAGATCAGGGGAGGATGAAAATATGTATATAAGGAATAAAAATTAAAATGTGGGGAAGGAAACTCTTTCGATGCAATGGCAGCAAGGAATGAGAGCTTCTTTCCCACAGCTCCTGTTCTGTGACTGTGCAGACCCAGGCAATTCTGACAACCCTCCCCATCCTGACTGAACTGTCCCACCTCTGTCCTCTCAAAACCAAGGCTGGCAACACCACTCAGTCATGATGAGTGAGAGGGGGCATAAAGCAAAACATCTTAAATCTTCCACTGAGCACTTCAAGGAGTTGTTTAGATCTCTGCAACTGCACATGTTCACACACATCAACATAACCACCAATTACACAAGTGTGCTTGCCTCTTAGAGAACCAGAACTCAAGCAATAAGGCAGAAAGCAGCAGCAAATCACGGAAGGAAAGGACAGCTTTCACTAAGGAGCAGCTGCGGGAGCTGGAAGCTGAATTTGCCCACCACAACTACTTGACAAGGCTCAGGAGATACGAGATAGCTGTGAACCTGGATCTCACCGAAAGACAAGTACTTTCCAAACCCTTGTCTCCCCAGCTCCTTCTTCCTCCCCCACAACTTCTCCCTAATGCTAAAATCCAGATGTGTTACCCAAGAGTCTGCTTTTGCAATGGCACAAAGGTATTTTAAAACAAAGCCTCCACATTCTTTCAGACACCTTCGTTACATATTTTTGTAAGTAGTTAATAAATTTAATTATGTTTCTCTAAACTAAAGATAGACTTGGTAATAATTGGTCTCTACTGAGTTCTTGTTTATCACCATTCATTGGTACATATTGATATATCAAAGTTTACATATGGGATATGGATATCACCTTTGACTAACAGGAAATTATTCAAATGAATGTTTGATACTTGCATTCTTCCTGGGTCAGGTGGTATTTTGAGGTGAAAAAGAAAGACAATTATACAGAGTTCTGTGGAGAGAGGTATTTCTGTTCTCTCATTGTCATCTCATTGTCCTTATCAAGGCTAAGTGGACAGCAGAACAATTGTGTAATTATGTGAGGCAAATTAAAAATCCTAAAGCATTAGATTGAATGGCCTAGATGTTAAAAATATATGAGAGGCACTGTGCCTTATTTGACATGAAGATAGATTCTAGGCAAAGCACTTGTACTACCTTTGAGGGTTTCAGAGGAACATCTGTGGGGAGCATTTTAGAAAGAATTGTTCCATAAAGGATTAGTCAAACCTGAGAGGCTCTGTTCACCTTTTCTTCTAGAATTCCACAAATCATCTCTCTACACACGTATGCATAGCTCTGCTTATACAGCTCAGGTTGAGTCAACAAGTAATTATTTTCTTTTTATCACCCAGGTCAAAGTATGGTTTCAAAACAGAAGAATGAAGTGGAAACGTGTTAAAGGTGGGCAAGCAGTGCCCCCACACGAACATGACACAGAGGATGTGGACTCTGCTGCCTCCCCCAGCTCTGAGTAGTCCCTGCAGCAATGGGAGAGGAGTTTGGAGAAAGTCATTGATTGGAATGTGGGTGCAACTGCTTAGAATCAGCTACACAATGAGATCACCCTGCCTGCCCCAGTCCTGTAGCCCATAGTCTTTAAAAGGTGCATGATGCTTGAGGTTACCGGGGCAATTAAAGAGCACAGGGGGGAAAAAGCCAAGGGAGAGCATGATTTTGATTTTTGTCTCTCAAACTGTCTTACTACCACAGATGTGTCTACAGAAAAAAACAACAAACACCAAATAGAAAACAGAGATTCTCACCAGAAAATCCAGACTGTTAGTCAGCATATGCAGCTGTATTCTCATCCAGGGGTCACACCTATTTCCCTGGTCATACCTATTCATTCTGCATTTGGATTTGACAATGCACATCTTCCTGTGCCCTTCTTGGAGAGAAATAAATACTTTGATAGTCACTGATTTTTCTTGCAAAATGAGTTGAACACCTATATGACTAGGCAATAAGATTGCAAAATAAAATGTGAGACTAAAAACGCACACAGAAGTCAACTCACCAGTTTTAGAAGAGATGGCTTTCACACTGACAGTCCAGAAAGGTAGGTGCTTTGTTGATGGCAGCAATTTGCAGAGGGAGATTTCATCCAGGCTTAATGTAAAACTGAAATTAAATTGCGAGATCTCAGTTTCAAATATTTTTTCGAAACAGTCATTACCAAATGTCCCAGCAGGCACAGCAGAGATTGAACTCTCAACACAACAGCTAAAATATTATTATTTTGGTTTCAAGTTTTTCCAATAAACTGCCACAGCACCACCTGAAGTCTTAAGAACACCTAAGAACATTCTCACTTTAAATTATCCCTGCTTTCAACCAGAACCTCTAGTGTATAAAATTATGATGATTTAGAAAAGCATAATGCCTGCTCCCATTTCTTGTATCTTTTTTGTTTAATGCCATATTTTAAGCAGAATTTCACACTAGTGTACCACATTATGACTATTGAGAATACTGGAACTTTGGTTTAAATATTTCAAATGTAACCATTAATTGCAGCTACAGCCTTACTCTGATGCACTGCTGTTGTGAACTGTAGATATGCTGGGTATGAATTTGTATATCTGGATTCTATGTTTATAAAGCTGTTAGTGGTAATTCCACTTGTAAAAGACCTCAAATTTGATAAATATCAACTTCTTTTTTTTTAACAGAGATGCTGTATTCTTTTCAAAGAGGTGCTTATAGTACTTACTGTATCTACTAAGAGAAAACACACATTCTTCAGAGTTCCAAACTCTGATTGACAGATGAAAAAAACCATCAGTTTAGAGTAAATATTTATGCAAAACCAATTTAAAAGAATTAGTATTTTTAAAAAGAAATATTTAAAACTAAAGAAACTTGAGCAGTTTGAGCAGCACTGAGGAAGCGAGTTTGGTTACTGTCTGGTTTCCCATACTCCACTACTTGCTCTTATCCACTTTATTCAAAAACAACACACAAACAACAAAACAAAATGCCAACACTCCTCTGCCCCTGAAAAAAACCACAACAAACTAAGAAAACAGCATCAGGGATGTCTCACACAGGTCCTTCCACAAACTTGCAGTCACAGCATGGATGTAAACCCATGTAAATTCTGTGAGTACAATAAATACTAAATGATGAGTTATAATATTTAGGGGCATGCAAGTTCTCTCTCCAAGCTAGACCTACCCCTGTCTCTTCAGGTCTTTATGATAAGGAAAAAATGCCCTCAGCTTCTCCTGGGACACTTGTGGTAGATATTTAAATGAAAGGTGGAACAGAGATGGTCAGATCCCAGTTACTTCAGCAGTGATAAGGGTGGACAATGAGAGAACACCATTCTTTTTGTTAACAAACCCAATGTCAGAAACAGGTTCATAATCTCACTACTCAGGTGACATAAAATTAATTGGCTAAAATGCACAGATGAGAAGCTACAGTTTACTGTATCTTTAAGAACAGAGATTGTTTTTGGCTTTACTTCTTGAACCTTGGTGCCTTCTGATTCGACTTCTGACTAAACTCAGTAGTTTGGCTCTTGGCAAAGACTAAAGAAAGCTGTATTTTGTGAAGAACTCTGGTGCTCAGATATCCTACCCTCTTCTCCTGGAACAGAAATCACCAACAGAAATCAGGAGTTCTTTTTTACCTCTATCCTTGTAACCTCTTAAGCCATTTAATACTGTACATCACCTCCTCTCCACTGTGGTTAGAAAGTTTGCAGCCTGCAGGAGCAACTTATTTTGAGATGAAAACTTTCATCCTCTTGGCTACTAACATAAACCAAAACCAGCTCACCACCCAGAGGAGAGGCTAATAAATCTTCCCTTTCAAGTAAGTTGTCAATAGTAGCATAATGAATCCTAATTTACTTAAAAACTGATCAATGGGATCTCGGTCTGTACCCATAATTACAGCTCCTAAAAAGTCCTTGCTCTGAATTTTGAGAAACAAGCTTTGAGTCACCTGTGAGATCATCTTGTGCTTAGGCAGTTTCTTCATTAAACCATCTGCTCACTCTAAGATTTTAGTGTTTTGAGAAGGAACATTTCACTCCTGACATCAAAGCATTTGACCTCTGAACCTCTGGTGCCAAGAATCTTCCAGGGCAGGCCTGTGGTCTGGGAGCAAAGTCTTTGACCGGCACTTATTTTTCTCAGAAATACACATCAGGCTCTATTCTCCTCACAGAAGGGAGGGAAGCTACCTGGGGATGTTTGGCAATGTTTTCCACGCCTTACTCTCAATAAATAATCTGAGCACACAATCACCCCATGGCATCAGAGAAGTCTGGCAGGGATTCTCCAGGAAGCACAGGCAAGCAGAGCTGTGAGACTTTTTGCCAGTGCAAACAGCTCACAGGGAACAGGGATATCTGGATAAACACAAAAATATGTGCTGGAGTCCTTTATATCTGTGCTGCCTCTTCCAAACAGAGCAAGAGAAGTGCTTTCCTTAGAGCCAGAGACTTTATGGACTCTTTATCTATCTAGCCAGATGCCAGTGGAGCAGAGGCCCTTATTTGTTTTACAGGTTCTGTATCCTATGACTCCTCTGTTGTTAGTCCTCAGTTGCTCCATGCCATTCTACAGCTTTAAGCCAGTGATTTTTCCAGTCAGTGGAGCTACTTAAACTCCAAAGACAGCCCCAGGCAAATCCAATGTTGCTTTAGATGTGTCCAGGGATGGGGCATCCACAACTCCTCTGGGCAACCTGTGCCAGGGCCTCACCAGCCTCACAGTGAAAAATGTCATCGATTTGCTGTGAATAAGGAACCAAACCCTCCAGTTCACGCTGTCTGGGAAACAAGAGAGCCCTTTAGCAAACATTTCACAGCCAGAGATTTTGACTGGGACATATTTTACACGAGCAAAGCTTACAAATCCTACTTCCGGTAGAATTTCCTACGCATGGAAACAAGCGCACACAACAAATCAGGGCATTTTACAGAACACACCATTTTTCAATTACCCTATTTTCTTCCCTCACCTCTAGCAGTGCTCATATTAAGTTTCATCAGCCACTATCTCAAATTTTAGATAATTCCCTTCCCTTGAGGAGAGTGCACAGCCCCTTCGAGTCTGTCTTAGTTACTGGGCTGAGCGTGCTGGACCCGCACAGCTCCTCCGGACAGATGGACAGGAAATCCACTTTCTTTCAGTGCTTACAGCAGAAGGGCTTTGTCTGACTGGAACTTGCCTGGTGTGGCTGTAAAATAACCTCAGGCTCAGGCTCTTGCCTTTCAGGCTGTATTTGTGAGTTATGATGGGGCAGCTTCCCCTCAGCTCCGGGTCCAGGTGTTGGCTCCCCATCCCCACCCTCCCCACACACAATGCCACATTGTTCTGCTTTCTGCACAAAGGAAGGGCTTTCATACACTACCAGACTCTTACACCACCATTCCCTTCCTCTATACCATAATTGTTATTTTATTCTTTTAAATAACTCTTAGACAGGGATAAGCTTCCAGGGTTGTCTGGAAGCTCCTCTGGGACCAGATTGCAGAAGAGATAATGGGAGTGAGTAACAGAGAGGATGGTGACTTCATACCACAGAGCTTTGAGTCGTGTTTCTCTTTCCTTATTAAAGAAGAAAACAGTTTTTCAAGCCTTGCTGAATATCCCTGGCTTTGGAGCAGGGCACAGACACGTGACTTGACATGCTTTCTTACAGCCTTTAATTTTTAGTTCAGTGAAAGTTTATTATGGCCCATGTTCATACCTGAGGTTAATCTGTCACCCAGAATGCCACGTGTGAAGTATTTCCTATACCCAGGAATTCATCACCATGTGAGTGTTAGCCCAGCAATGCCACAGTTAAGTTGATGGTTGTAAAGACACCCAAAAAAAAAGGATTGTTTCTTCCTTTCAGTACTCACCACAAACATCCTAGCAGTTTTGTACCTCCATCTACTTTTAATTCTATATTTCTATATTTTGATGCTTTTGTATATCTACATTTCAACACTTTTCATTCTCTATTTCTTTCATGAGAGATGATCGAGAAAAGTGATGCAAATGTTGAGAATCTGTGCAGTTTCCAATCCAGAAAAAAAAAATCTATCGGATATAATTTAGTTGCTCCATCCACTTTTCTTAGCTTTCTTTAATAGCTCATCCACTTTTCTTTAGGAGGGCAGACCCCTGAATCTGGACTGGAAGTTATTTTCCAATAAATAGAAATATAACTCTCCATAATAATTATCCACAGTTGTTTCTGTCTGAAGTTAACTGAAAAGGAGATTCTGGGGAAAAGTGGAGCTCAAGGAGACAATCTTCATTCAAGTACACAAACATCCAGTACTCTATTCTATGATTATACCTAGAAATGGCACAAAATATATATAAAGTATCCCAATAAAAAAATAAATCTATTAAAAAGAGGATAAAATAATGAGGTGAAAATAATGAGGTCAGGAAAACGTTTTAGGCACATCTCTCTGGTTTATTTGCAGGAGAAAACACAGAACATTACAAGACTTAAGGGTTCTTGTATGCACTGAAGACGTGTTTATACTGCTGGGTTCCAGTCTGAATCTGGTTTATATCCTGTGAATGCTCAGGGTCCTTCATCCACTCCAGGCAGGAAGTCTTTAATGCACACACTGAGAAGACATTTTCAACTATTCAAACATTAAATAAATAAGCATGAAAAAAAGTCATTCTACTGCAATAATTAAATTCTTCCTGTGTCTTTACAAGAGTTCTGGAAAAAAACAAGCCTCCCAATCTTGGCAGAGCTGTTTAAAAAGTCCAAGAAAGCCATAAGGGAAGGAAACTCAGTGGAAACCCATCCATTTTCCCCTTGCATTTTGTAGCACCATGAGATATTTAAGACCAGAGGCTCACAGCGCTTGGCTCAGAGCAGGCGTTGTCTCAGAGACATTCTGTCATTTAAAATAGGCAATTATCAAGAAGAAAACCAAAATGCTCATGTATATGTACCCTCCTTCCCAAACTGGAAAGTGGGGACTTGCCCAGTGCTGGAAAAGCACTGGAGAGAGAACTGAGGGAACTGAGGGATCTGAGGGAACTGAGTCCTTGTCTGGTTCAATATTGATCTTCTTCAAGAGATGAAATATGGCCCACATTATCTCATTTCTTACACATCATAGATGCTTTTCCTTGTGCACTGTGAGGATTTCTCAGGCAGTAACTAGGTGAGAGAATAGCTGCAGAGGAAGCTGTGTCTGAAACTTTCTAGAACTTTCAGTGCACTTGATAATATTCTCAGAAATGTGCTCTAACTTCTGGTCAGCCCTGAAGATGTCAGGTGGTTGGACTCAGTGATTGTTGTCACAATCACTTCCAAATGAAACAAATCTATTTTAGTTGCAGTTGCTTTGACATCTTTTAAACACATGAATATGTAGGAAAAATGTAACTCACCATATGGAAAACAATGCAAGGATAATAATGTTGGACTTGTAATCTGTGTATAACTTTAAATATGGAACTGGGCTTGAATTTTCACTTTCCTTCACAGCTGCCAGGGAAAACTTGACTAGCATTATTTTCAGGAGAAAAATGATCTCTCTTTTTTACAGTCTTCTCTCTGCTGTAATTTCTTTGTGTCTCTGCCAGAATCAAGATGAGGTGACGCCAAGAAAAAGGATGAGCTCATTGCATTTAATAGTATGAGATTTCACAAATAAAAACTACATTACTCAATTGAGAAGTAGTCAGTTGTATAAAACAGGGTTAAAGGCAGGTAGTTTTAATTGGAAACAAAAAGAATTAATTCAATTCTCATGCTGGTTGTCATTAGTGAACTGATCTGATTAGCCTTCCTTAGGGATGGAATTTTAGATTATTCACCATTATTGTATTGTTACTGCACTTTTATGATAACATTAAAAGAACAAGATAAACGTTGTTGGTAAAACAACACAGTGAAAGCAGTGAATTATAAGAAAGAGTCATTTGGATTTTCCTGTTCAAATCCAAGGCATAAATCTCAGCCTCAGGAACAACAGGTTCAGCACTCTCTCCACGACTTTTCGATTTCTAGCATCCCACTGAGCTCAAGAAGGTTTTATTCCACAGAAAACTGAGCCCTTCTCAGTGGTGCCAGCTCAGAAGAATCTCTCAGACCTGAGGAAACTGTTGACCATCAGCTCCACAGCAGTGCATTTTGCAAACAGAAGCACAGTCTCTTTTACAGGTCCCATGCAGCCTTTGCCATGAGCCACCTGAAAATGAAAGAGCCTTCGAGAGGGAAGGACATTTTGGGTGTCTGTAATGCAAATCTGAGCTCATGATGAGTTTGACTGGGTGCTAGACCTTGGCACAAGGTACAACTGAATCATTTTGTGCAAGGCAGGCAGCCACAGGTGTCAAAGATCACCTCACTCTCTTATGGGAGCAAAATTTAAATAAAACTTACGGATCTGTGGTTTTCCTGTATCCTTATGAAAATCCTTTACCTATGCTGCCAAGAATGCCATGACTGCTATCTGGAAAGCAAAGGAAGATATGATCCATTCTGTCTCCTTCATTCTCCCTGCAGCAGAACTGGACCAGAATCCCCAGTGGTGCTCCCAGCGGTGTCTGCTCCAGTGTCTCACTGACACAGAATGACCTCATTTGTTATGGCTGGTGAGAACTGAGAGAAATTAAATGCAGGGTCTGTAGTTAATTGGGGTCAGGTTGAGATGATTTATGACCTGAGGAATGTACTCACTCTTTACACTTATCATACAAACAACAGTATCAATTGGACCCAGCAACCTTTGGAATCAAATTGAAATTGGGATTTTCCAGAAAATGAGTAGTAGCAGAGGCAGGACCCATGGGAGGAGGGAAGCTGGTGGGCAGATGAGGCTGTATCTGAACACAAAGCCAGGTTCTCTTCCCACTCTTGATCAGTTACCCTCCAAGTCGAGATTTATTGTGATTCAGAGGAGAGATGGAATAGGTCTATGCCAAGGAAATTTCATCTGTCTGGAATCTGACAGGAAAAAAAAAAAAAAGGTTTGTAAATTTCAGAGGAAGCTGGGATTTGTCCCAGTTGCAGTCTCTGTGTTCACTCAGCCAGCTCATGTTAGCAAGTTAGGCTCACTGAAAAATAGAGGGAAATGCTTTTCCATCAGTCAAGAACCTGGAGTTTGGTCCCACATCAGTGCAGTGCAGCCTTCAGCAGGTCCCCCCATGCCTTTTGCAGGACATCTGAAACAAACATCTTTCTTTTCTTTGTGGACTTTAGAAAAGGATTAGAGAATAGTTACTCTGTTTTCAAGTTCAGAGCATTTTATCACACTTCAGCAGTTAAGTTGAACATGAAAATAGAACTATTCAATAATGGGTTTTTTTGGGGGGAAAAAAAAAAATCACAGTTTCTTCCCTAATTAGGACTCTGCTTCTTCATTTTTCCTAACTTTGTGGCCTGTTTCTGATTACACAAGATGCAGCCACTCTTGTGCCCACTGAAAGCAGTGACTGATTTGGTTTGTTTGGTTTTTTTAAAGTAGAAAAATCATCTCTATTCTGCTAATGTCTATCAAAATAGGCAGAGAAAGTGAAGGAGAGAAAGAAAAATCGCTGCAATCCCAGGAGTGGAGGTTATAAAACCCCTCTCCATGGGTTTCTGTGCTTCTTATTGAAGTTTTGTTCACACACACCTTAACCTGCCAGCTCAGTGAAAATGCATCAACCCTTTATCTTCCTGTCCCCTCTGAGTGTCTTTACACTCCACATAGATATGAGCTCAAAACATGTAAAAGCTTCTTAGGAAAAAGAATGGTTGTTACAGAAGGGTGCAGAATTCTGTGGGAGGGCAGAGAAGGCTGACAAGGCACAAACCAGTCTGGGTGGAAGCATCTCTGCTGCATCCCAGAGCCTTCATCCCAGGGCACGTGCTGCAGGAGCAGGAGAGCATCAGGCTGAGATATTCCCTGCTCTCAGTGCAAGCCCAGAGAGCTCCAGCTGCACAGGGAACTCCAGGAATTTGCCTTTGCCCTTATAAATCTTCCTGGCTCGCTCTCATCTGTGGGACTGGCAGAGGATGCTGAGTGTGGCCATCACTGCATTTGGCTCTTTGCTACCTGCAGTTTAACTCCCAGGCAAGCAGACTGCAATAACACAGGGTATTTATTCAGCTGGGCCTCTCCTGTGTATCCTGGGGAGAAAAGGTATGTTCTGGCCTCTTTAATCACTTCATTCTTTGCTGGAGTAAACAAGAGGAGCCACGGGGGGTTGTCTTTGCTTGTGAGGTTCTGCTGTGCACGGGGATTGCTGTAAGAGATGCCTTCACTGTTAGAGAACAAAGTTCTTGCTCTGGAAGGAGGGAAAGATGAGCTGGGGTGACTGCAGATGTTAGAAGGAATGCAAAAAAAATGACTGAATAATGGTCCAAACAACTGTTTTCCATCCCTACCAACAGACCAGGCACCATCTCAACTGGTGCATCCTGTGCTGCATCCAGGGTGGGACAATTTGTCACCACAGACATTGAAAAGGAGGAGGGAAAGTTCAGAGCAAGGCAGGGCTCTGCTGAGTTTCTGCCATTGTGCACTGGGCTTTGTCAGGCCCTGTGCTCCACCACCTCTGCAACTTTCAGAAGGAGCCACTGCAGCCTCTCATGAAGGGCAGTGCTCTGAAAAGAAGTGCTGCAATAACAATGAGCTGACAGCAGAGTTCCCTAAGAAGCATCTGGCCAACTCACTAGCATGAGTTTACACTAAAAACTCTGACAAACAGAAGCTATTGGTAGGTTCTTTAAAAATATTGCCAGAAATGGTTGAGAAATTAGTGTTTGTTTTAATTTTTCTTGTAAGCAAGCCCTGAAACACTCTTACGTGCTGACAACTACTCTAAGGAAAAATAACCATTTATTTCAAAAATTTGGATTCTTGTTTTATTTAGGGCTCCTAAGAAAGAGTAACTTCAGTTGAGTTCAGAGCTGAGGAATTTTTACACTGTTGCTGCCCTTTACACAGAAGGTGAAGACAGAAGGATGGGATCTGGCAGAGGTACAGGAGTGTCTGCAGCTGCAGCAGGACGTGCTTTGAGCTGCTCAGGAGCCTCCCCATCCTACACCCCAAAGCACACAGAGCTGCCCCCTCCCCATCTCCAGGCAGGGAACACCTCTTGGCCAGTGCCATGTAAGGAATCAAATGTGAAAGGACAAGTGTCTTCATCAATATTTACAATCAGGTTACTTGCCCCACATAAATATATCCAGAGCCAAAAAAAGGAGACACGATTTACTTCTTCAGAACAAGGGTGGATTGTTGTATGAGGCACATTTGTGTGACTTAAAATGGCTTTTAAACAGTGAATTTCACATATAATACATATTATGTTTGTCTATCTTTAGGTTTTCAGTATGGCACACACCAGGTTGTCTGGCAAAAGCAGTATGAGCCCAGCAGGGGCTTCAGTCAGAAAATGCTGAGTGCTCCAAATGGGCTCCTCACTCCTTCCCCTCACCAAGTTCTCCCTGGCAAACCTACTTGGCCAAACAACAGGACTAAACAGCTTTCAAAGAAAAGAAGGTAAAATTCTGATAAGGTAGGATCCTCTTTTCAGACTTTCAGAACCTGAAGTTTTAATATAATGATTTAATATAATGATTTAATATAATGATTACTCCAGGCAGAAATATCTCAGGTCCTGCAGCTCGGTGACCTTCCAGTCCCAGGGCAGGTTCTTTGGAAAAATAAGTTTTCTCAAATTGTAATCCCATGGATTTTTCTCAACACTTTTAAAAAGAGCAGAGGTTACACATGTTTTTCACACAGCCTTCCATTGCATAGAAGCTTTCTCCCCCCCATCTCTTTTCCTCCTACATGGAATAAAAAAAAGTCAGAGGTAGCAAGTGAAGATAAAGGTAAAAAGGGCTAAGTGTCCCTGGGGGCAGATTTGCTGTATTACTTCCAATACTTTGAAAATGTGAAAACACATTTGACTGATTCTTCTACTTCTACATGGATAGTCTCAGCTTCTATACTGTGATTTATATGCAAGAATGAAGTCTATATTGATTATCAAGACCTAGCTCTGGATAAAAAAATTTTCCTAGGTACTAGACTTATTTTGCATCAGTGAATTTCTCTTCATTTTTGGATAATGAATGGGGATGGCCTAGCATTTAAAAAATAATAAAGTCATTGAATCAAATTAATCTTAGCTTAGGAATTTAATGCATAGGATGTTCTGAATTTTCTGATTTTCAGGAGGTCTGTGTTACTAACTTGTTTCAAGATGCTTTTCCCAGTTTTATTATTATTGAATTATATTCCAGGGACTGTTGGATTCCCATTTAGCTCCTCAGACATATCAGAAATTGCACTGATATGTCAAAAAAAACAAGGCACAGATTCTGCTTTTTGTCTTCTAGTCTTAGCAATCAGCCAATACTCTCTATAGGCAAACAACAGAAAGATGGTTTTTGGACCAAAATAAGAATCCTATGAAAAATGGATTTTTTTTTTTTTTTCGCCAGATTTGTTGGGTGGGATATTTTGAATTTGTGTTTTCCTTCATAATGCACTCCTGGGTCCATCAGATTCATCTTCTGCACTGCCCCAGGCTCAGGATGCCTCACTAACTGGGGTTTGAATGCCTCCTTTGGTACAAAAGAGCTGAGTGGTAATTCTGGGCACACTGAATCCACTGCTTGGCCAGCAGAGAAATCAGCTCAAAGCCTTGTGGGATGAGCCTGTTCCTGGAGCCCAATTCCCAGCATTTGGATACTCCAAAATCCACTCTGAGAACTCCTCAGCTGGGTCTGAAAGGTGCTGCTGCTGCATCCTTCCCACCCCATTGTTGGAAAATTATACAAAACTTAATTGGTTTTGGTAAATTTAGTCACCTTTGTCTTGGGGGAAAGGAATTTTGTATTTCTTTTCAAAGGACTGTTTCATCACTCAAGATGTGATGAGTTTAATGTCTCAGCAGACTGGGAGCAGCACAGAAGATACACAAAAGATAACAAATAAACAAACATCAACTCCAAACATCACCCCTGGCATGGTCAGAGACACCAGGTCTGGGAAAAGATCAATAAATGAATGAAGAATGAGAACTGAAATAACATCAAGGGTGAAGGGATCAATAGGAAACTAAATCCTACAAACTGTGGAACTTGGGACCAATCAACATTGAACCAATGAATTTCCCTGGGTTTTGATTGTATAAGTACAAGAAAAATGCAGTGAAAACTTTGAGTGATGGAAGGATTTTCTCTGCACAACCCACACAATGTGTGGATGAAATAATTTCTGTTGCACATCTTGGCCAGAATAAAGTAATGCCTTCATTCTCTAACACTAAAACACATTGTTGGAGAGTTTTTGTTTTTCCTGCAGTTTTGGTGACACCATCACAGACCTCAGCACTTTTGGGCATGGCAGCAGCTGCAGGGTTAAAAGTCTGCTCCGAGTCTTTTTGTGGCTTCTTTCCAAAAGGTTTCATTTAACACCAAAGGTCTCCTTATAGCTCCCTCACTTTAATAGATTTTTCCCATTGAGTTCTCACTTTATAGACTATCATTTCCTTTTCTGCAGGGGAGCTATTTTCTGGGTCACTGATCCAACCAACTTAAAAGGGATTTCATTGATTAGATTTTATTGGTGGTTACTTCAACCATAATGGCCCAAGTTGCTAGTACCTGCTAACAGCTGTGAGTCTTGCTTTGGTACCCTGGCTCTGCACACTCTTCTACAAGTGAAGTTCCTCTCTCCTGTCTTGATTGCTTGCTAATTACTTAGTACCCTCTTTACCATCTAACTGCCTCAGTTGATTTTTATATTTCAGTGCCCCAGGTCAGCTGCATGGAGAAGTGCTCCTGACAAAATCTGCACCTCGCTCCTCTCATTTCTGTGTTTGCCTCTGGTCATCCCTGTAGTCCCACAAAACCCTCATCATACCCCAGCCAGCATTGTGCAAACAAGGGAAGATGGGAGATCACCACTTTCAAAGCAAAATGAGCTTTATTTTAATATTTTAATTTTAATTTTATAATATTTCAAGGGTTGTTTTTTTTTTTAAGTGAAAAATTACCTGACTAACATTGAAGAGTCCTCCCTTGACACTCTTCACTTTTGGTACTTCACTGCTGTGTTTTCCTGCATGAAGGACTGGGGGGTTGTGTCTGTTGGAAACACAAATTGATAATCAAGACAGGCCTTTCTTCAAATGCCTTGCAAAAAGGTACAACTCCCTCTTGACTCCTGAACAATGCACACTCCATGCTCCATCCTGTTCTTCGTGCTGCTCCAGCTGTGATCCCATTCCAGCCTTTTCCCTGATCCATAATACTTTACAGAGTGATGGCCTGTGCATCTTTCACTACCTTTGTTTCACGGGGTAACAGATAGAATTTAAGGAGAAGTTGCTGTGATTTCTGTCATTAGAGAAATGAAGGTGCCAAACTTTCATAAGAAAGCAATTACTGCAATTATAATTACTACAACCTCCATTGCAACACAATTTAACCCAATATTTTCCTCTTTGTGGTGCACTTTGCAGGCTCTAATTAATTGTGTGTCTCTTATGAAGTAACAAACTACCTTGGCCCTCTGCAGGTGAGAAACTGAGGCACAGAAGTTGCCAGCTGACCCAGATCCAGACAGAATTCCTGCTGGAATACCAGTTGAGCTTTTTGGATTTGTTTCTGAGTTTCATGGTGGTGCAGGGAAGTGAAAGCACCCCAGTGAAGCTGCAAGCCAGGCTAAAAAATTAAGCAGGTGATACTACATAGTGTAAAATCTGTGAGTACCAGCAAGTGAAGGCTTCTCTTCACAGATTTTAAGAAAAGAACTCTTCAGAGCAATAATGCAAGTGATTTTTAACTGGTACCTCTAGCTTAATTTCCTTTCCTCTAACACAGCTGCTTTCCTGGCTCCATGCTTCTCTTTGTGCTAAACAAAGTGCAATGGCTTTATGAGAAAGGATATAATTTTCTTCCAGCTTCTTTAAAAACTGTCTGACCAACAGGCCAAGAGGGTTTACAGAATGTTGAGAACTCTCAGAAAGGAACAGGAACAGTTCAGTTGGTCCTAACCTGCCAGGAGCAGCCTCTCTGCTTCTCTTATTTCTGGAATCCAACCCTGAAGTCTTTCTGCTTCCTGCAGTCATGAGGAGCACTAAGAGTGATCCTGCAGCATCAAGCTGTGGAAACTGAAGGACAGAGGAACTCCCTATCATTCTCTTTATGAGAATTCTCTTATTATCTATTCTCTATTATCTATCTTATTATCTATTCTCCTTCCACAGCACAGAGAGAAGGAACTGAGGGTGACAGCCCACTGCTCATTCCCTTTTCCCTACAAGACCTGGACCTTTCTCTGCACTTCCTCTCCTGAGCAGAGATCTCTCTATTTGCTCTCACAGCTGTCCTGGTACATTATAGCCATGTGACAATCAATTAACTGCACACTCTATCAGAATAAAGAAGCCACCCAACCTTATATAACTCTTTTTAATTGTTTTCTTACATTATAGCATTTTGCTAAACTTATTCTGCCATAATTCACATAAGTTAATTTCTCAAAGTGCTAATAAAATAATTGCTTCCTTCCTGTAGACAGAGTGCCTGAAATGTCTTCTCTCATTCAGAACATTATAAAAAGTGGCTGTCATGAATGCTTAAAAGGACTGTTTTATTCACAAGATGATACAAAATTGTTCTCTCAAGAGTTTGTGCTGTGTCTCAGATGGCCACAAAAGTGCAAGAAACCAACCCAGACACTTCCTTTCCTACTGGGACTACCTGCACTGGAGAAAGTCACCCAGAGTTGAAAAGCATGGCAAGTCTCATGAGTAAAGGTCTGTGAGCTGGTGGAAATCTCCCATCCTATTGCCCTTACACAACAGCCTGAAAATAAAACACTAATTTCAAACCACAAGTAAATAACTCAAACTACCATAGATCCTCCTCCAGAAAGAGACTGAACAAAAGCAAACTGTGATTTACATATTTAGGCTTGAGAAAGAGAACTTCCTACCAGGAGGGCATTCTGTGTATTTCAAACATTGGTCAATAATCCATGTCTGCAATTTAGATTTCTCTGCACTTCACATCCCCCCTGGACTGATTATGCCAGATCCAGTTCTGGGCCTCATTGGGCACAACCTTTCTTTTCTATGCTTTTTGTCTCAAAATTAACGAGGATGAGGAAACCTCCAAACTGTGGAAAGGTTCCTGGGGGATGAGCAGGAAAATGAGTGAGCAGAGTGCTGGTGCAGCAGAGAAATCACAGCTGCATCAACCAGGGCATCCCCAGCACTGCCAGAGCTCTCACTGTCCCTCTCAACACTCAGCAGGCCATGCCTGGAATACAGCTTTGATCCCTGCTATAAAGAAAAAAAAGAGATGTGGACAGGTTGGAAAGGGTCCAGAGAAGAGCCACAAAAATGATCCAAAGCCTGGAAAGCTGCCACATGAGGAAAAGCTGAGAACTGAATGTTTTAATTCTTGAGGGGGGAAAAAAAAGGCTTAGGGGAGAGCTTATGACGGTGTTCCAGTGTTGTGGATAACTGCTGCAGCAGCCAGGATGCTCAGGGATGGACACTTCAGGAAGGGGATTGCAGAGCAGCCTGCATATTACCAGTCAAAACTCACATTTTCTGCTGTGCCCAGCAGCCCTCTGCAGTCTGGGGGTTAATTACCGAGCTTCACACTCTTTTAGCAGACTTGTCGATCACACTGATTTGGAAAATCCTCATTAGGATTCTGGCCTAAGTCAGACTGGATGGAAGATCACACAAACTTCAAAGGCAGAGCCTTTACTGACAGCCTCATCAGCTGCACAGGCTCAAAATTCCAGAGATTCCAAGATTAACAAGAGTCTGCTGCAGGGACAGCAAAGCTGGCATTGGTAGGTGCAATGTCACCAACACATATCCAATAAAAATCCAAATGCTGAGAACTACCTAACTTAGGACAGATGAACATTGAAGCAATGAATTTCTCTGTAAGCATCTGAAAAATCTAATAAAATTCACGTGTCATGGAATGATTTTCTCAGCACAACCCAGGCTCTGTGTGGATGAAATGATTTCTGTTGCACATCCTGGCTGGAATAATGTAACGCCTCGATTTTCTAACACTAAAAAAGTTGTTGAAGGGTTTTTTTGTCTTTCCCACAGCTTCAATGACAGCAAGGGCCTCTCTCAGTCCAAGTGCAGACCCTGTGGTGTGTGCTACTGAAAGCAGCAGCACAGAGAAGGTGTTTGTCCAGGGTGGAAGCAGTGAAAGGATGTGCTTTGCTGGGCTGAGCTGGGACTGCTCAGCAGTGCTTGGCAGGTGTTTACAGAGAGGGATTTCTGTGTTTCCTTAGGTATTGCATCAGCTCCAGGGTTGGTAACAATAGGAAATTCTAAACTCAGCACCTTACTCGTGATATTCCTGCTCGAGCAGCAGAGGGGTATTGAAGAGCAGCTGGGCTGATTTCATGGCTGATGTTAAGGAACCTGAGCTCTTCATCCAGCTGTTTGTTATTATTTTTATAAAGCTGCAGGTCTGTTCATGTTCCATTCTATAGTACAGAGAGGGGTTTTTCAACTTTCAGTGTGTCACTTTCTAAGACATTTGTCATTTGATCCTGGCTGTGTCAGCATCTCTGTCTGAGAGCTTTCCATTACACCAACCACAGCTGCTGTGGGCTGCAGGGGATGCAGCTGAAATTCAGGGTTGGGGGTTCTAAAACCAGTACAATAAATGGAAACAGTTAAACCTTAGGGATGGACACAGGAGGGGGAGGAGGATTAGGCACAAAATTCAGTTGGTGACTAAGAAAAATAAAATGTAAGTCCAGGGAAGAAACACCTCAGGCAGTGTGTGTTACAATGATGGAATAAATCTGTTGCTAATACTTTATAAGCAAGAATCAGCTCTCTGGTTTATGTATCACATCTGAACTCTTCACACACTCCACACCTCAAGAAAAAAAAGTAAATAATGGAAGGCAAATAATCACCCTGAACATTAATTGCTCACATTTGATTAGCCAGGCTTTGAAAATAAATGTGACATAGAAATAGAAAAGGCCATTGATAGCATTGACAGGACATTTCTGTCAGAGAAAAAAACCACAAATTTAAAAGATGGCATTACTGCCTGGCTGGTACAAATGACAATGAGGCGCAGAAAGGATCACCTGGCTTTCTAAACTCCTAACCAGAAAGGACTCTGGGTGCTGCTGGATCAAGTAGTCCAAAACTTTGTCAGCAGTTTATATCTAAAGGATTATATAGGTGTAATTGAAACTTTATACAGCTTTGTCCCACAGGATTAAGGATGGCAAATCAAGTATATTAATATAAAAATAAATTATTTATTATGATAATGATTAGACTAAAATATCTTCATCAGAATTTTTTACTGCACAGTATGGATAGCTATAACTACTAATACAGTGTAGTGCACTAATTTTGAAACAATATTGAATATTACATTAAAGCCAAAACTATTATGAAGTAGAGATTGATGTTGCTCACCCAGACCAACAACTCTTTCACTCAGCCAAGGAGTGAGCTTGAGAGCCATCCCCAGTCCAGGGAGGGATTTCCACACACAATCTAAGGAGAACCTGCTGTCAAAAGGTGGGACTGAGCTCTTAAAGTCCCCAGGCCATCTGTCAGCTCAGCAGGAAAATAAATATCTGTAATGTCACCTGGTGGTTCCTTCATCAGGTACTGCACCAGCTCTGCCACATTTTCATCTCACTGTCAGGATGTTTAACTCTGACAAACAGCCAGGCACCAGAAGCAGTGTGAATCCCTCCCTTCTCCATTCCCCACTGACAGCTTTGCAAATAGGCTGAAGTTTGAGTTGTTTCACCCCCACTCCAGGCAGAACATCCTGCTACAGGTGAAGACTCCACCACTGTCCTGGGCAGCCTGATCCAATTCCTGACAACCCTTTCAATGAAGAAATTTTTCTTAATATCCAATGGAAACCTTCCCTGCACAACTTGAGGCCTTTTCCTCTTCGTCCTATCCCTTCTACTTGGGAGATGAATCTCACTACACCCTCCTTTCAGGCACTTGTAGAGAATGAGAAGGTTCCCCTGACCCTCATTTTCTCCAGGATGAGCCCACCCAACTCCCTCAGCTGCTCCTTTTCAGATTTGTGTTCTGGAGAGTCTCCAGTCCCTCTGCACAGTGACAGAGGAGTGAAAAGACAACTGAGACCTAAGGCTCCTCAGACATCAACATTCCTGCTCCTGCCAGCTGGATGGGAAATTAGAACATCACAGAGTGAACAAATCCCACAGCAGAAAATCCCATCCTGTTTGGAGCTCAGAGCAGAGCCAGGGATTGAAGTCAGATCTCAGTAACAAGTTTTTATTATCACTTAACTAGTAAGGGTAGCACATGAGTGTGTGTTAACACTTAGACTTCATAAGACATTAAAAGCATAAATTTTGTAAGAACAATTTAACCAGGAGAAATATTCTCTCACAATTGTCCCATAAAACTGGATTACAATTAAAAGCCCCAATAGACTGCTACAAATCATAAGAAGCAGGAAAAAATGTGGTAAAAGTGAAGATTTAGATTAATTCACATGCTTCAGTGATTTTCTCAAAGCAGAGTGAGCTGAAATTGTGCTGCATTTGACCACGTGTAGAATGTTTGAGGATGTGGGAGCAGGTGCAGGTGTTGGATGGAAATTCCCTGGCAGTTCACAGGTGCCAGCTGCTCCCACAGGCATGAACTGCTCAGTCAGGTCCTCTGGCACAGAGGGGACTTGTAGCCTATTAGCAGAAATATCAAATATTCACTGACTAGATACTTAAACTTCACAGACACCCCTTCACAGCAAGCAGAGCAGTACAGGAAACTGGGAGGGGTGAGATCTAGAGAAAACATTAAAAATGTAAAGTTCCATTTAGCCTTACAGATAACTATCCTGTTTTCTTTTTCTCTTGAGTACCTATTTCTCTTCCAGGAGATAATCTTCCATGAATGTTTATCTTACTATCACCAGGTCCTGCCTGTCACTAATATTTTTTGGAAGATAAAGAGGAATAATAAATGTTATATAGTATCTTGGAATTTTAAAGGAGAAATTTGGGGAAAAAGAAACACTGGATGCATGCACAGGGCCCAGGAGACAGCATCTGGTATCTGGAAAAAAAAAATACACTTTTTTTTAGTGTGCAAATCCCAAGACTAATTTTTTTTTTCCTAATGGTCTCGTCCCTTAACATCTGCATGAGTAGAACTGATTTTGGCAGCCGGGGCTTTAATTATTTTCGTTCCTGTTGGATGTGTGAGATTTCTTCCAACTCTTGCTGAGACTTCCTCAGAACAGAACTGAACGTGAAGAGTGTTTGAAAATGAGCTCAGAGAGTGAATGAAATGAAAACGAGAGGAGGGGCAGGGCGGGCCCGAGCCCGGGGCGGCCGCTCATGAATGAACTCGGCGGAATTTTAGGTTTTTTTATGAATGGGAGCTCGGCCGTGAATGAACCGCGCAGCTCTGCGATGTGATTGGTCCCCGGGACAGAGGCCACGCCCACCCGGCAAAGGGTGACGGCCGAGGCGAGCGGGGATTGGCGGGCGCGCCCCGACGCGGAGCTCCATTCACAAATTCGGTGAAACAAAGGAGTGGGCGAGCCGGGCCCGTGAGCGAGGGGCCAATGGGCGACCGGCCCCGGGCCCACGGCAGCCTCGGAGCGCGCACGGGGCGGCTCCGCCGCGG